CATCCTGGCCAACATGGTGAAACCTCATCTCTACTGAAAATACAAAAATTAGCTGGGCATGGTGGCGCGCACCTGTAGTCCCAGCTACTCAGGAGGCTGAGGCAGGAGAATCACTTGAACCCGAGAGGCGGAGGTTGCAGTGAGCCGAGATCACGCCACTGCACTCCAGCCTGGTGACAGAGCGAGACTCCCTCTCAGAAAAAAAAGAAAAATATTTTTCTAAATTATTCTCTTGAGCCTATAGTAGATTGTGACCTTGAGATATTTGGTAATAAATCCTCCTATATCAAGAGAAAATATTTCTCAATTAAATTTTCTTTTGAGTTGAGATTAAAGGAAAACATTTATGGTCATTAATTTTTTTTCTTGGCTTGACTTTAAATCCCCCAATTTTTTTTTTTTTTTTTTTTTTGAGATGGAGTCTCACTCTGTCGCCTGGGCTGGAGTGCAGTGGCGGATCTCAGCTCGCAAGCTCCCACCTCCACGGGTTCGCCTCTCCTGCCTCAGCTCCCAAATGCTGGAGACTACAGGTGCCACGCCACCTCACTCAGCTAGTTTTGTATTTGGCGAGATAGGAGTTTCACGTAGCTAGGATCGTCTCGTCTCCTGACCTCGTGATCCGCCCGTCTCGGCCTCCCAAGAGTGCTGGGATTACGGGCCAGGCCACCGCGCCCGTTTTTTTTAGACGGAGTCTGGCTCCTGGCGCCAGGCTGGAGCGCGGTGGCCGGATCTCGCTCACTCTGGCTCACGCCTCCCAGGTTTGGCATTCTCTGCGCCAGCCTCCAGTAATTGGGACTACGGCGCCCGCCACCTCGCCCGGCTAGTTGTTTTTTTTTTTTTTTTTTTAGTAGAGACGGGGTTTCCAGCGTGTTGGCCAGATGGTCTCAATCTCCTGACCTCGTGATCCGCCCGTCTCGGCCTCCCAACGTGCTGGGATTACAGGCTTGAGCAACAACTCGGCCATCCTCAATGTTTTTATTTTTATTTTTTCAGAAACAGGATCTCCTCTGTCATGCAGACTGGAGTGCAGTGACATGAGCATAATTCACTGTAGCCTCAAACCCCTGGGCTCAAGCTGATCAGCACTCTCCTTGGCCTCCCAAAGTACTAGGATTATATTTGTTTTAGATATTTATTCCTTCTGTTAGGCTGGTTGGTGAGCTGATATAGCTGAAAGAGACAAAGTAAAGAGATTTGGTTCCTAGTCTCATCCCTGCCACTAACTAGTAAGTCTCTTAACCCCTCTGAGTCTGTTTATTCCAATACAAAATCACGAGATTGAAAAATCCTGCAAGTCCTCATGATGGACTCCTAAAAGTCCCTTTAGTGGCAGGTAATCCAAGAAACTGAATTAGCCGATCGGCTTGGAGAACCTCAGGTTAATTTGGTTTAGTGAAGTATTAAGTACGATTGCAGAGAGAAAACTGAGATAAGACCTGAAGTGCCTCATATTCGGCTAAGTAAATTGCCATTTGTTTTGCCATTTACAAGCAGCATTGCAGAAAAGTCAGTGTGAAAACGGGTATGCTGGATGGGTTGGAAGGAGGAAAGACTGACAAGGGATAAAAATACTTGTTTTATTCTGAGTTTTAGGCTATTTTACAATGTTCAATAACCTCACAACATACCTAGTTCAAATGGCAGAGTAGTAGTCCTAAGCCTCACTGCCATGCTCAGCTTACCTGCTGCTGGCTCCATGTCCTGAAATTTTCAATGGCACCTCACAGTACTCATCATCTGGACTGATCTATTGCTGGTTGCTCTTCAGCTCCAGCCTTTCGATGACTATTTTGCTTCTGCTGGAATGTTTGTTGGCAGCCTTTAGTTTTGCTCCTAACCACCTCCCATTATCGCAACCCCGCCCGCCATAACTCCTTCACTGTAGCAGCTGCACAGAGAAGACCTCCTCCTAGGCTCACTCAGTTCCCAGAAGGCAATTCTTGTTATCTGCCACAGTTAAATTTATGCTACCGCTGTTAAAATTTTAGGATATCTATAGTGTTAAATCAAGTTCAGCCTAAAGCTGCCTCCTACATATTTTTAAGTTTGGCCTAAAGTTTATCCCTGAACATTGTGAACTATAACCTAAATGCACTTGTTAATGGACTGAAGCCTACTCTTGTGCCAGTCATGATTTTAGCCAATGAGAGGTGGCCAACTTAGTCAACCGTGTTCAAATAAGGCAAATGTTGAACTGTGACCAATCCGGCTGTTTTTGTACCTCACTTCCATTTTCTGTGCATCACTTTTGTTTTCTGCTCCATAACTCTTCCACCACTTGGCTATGCTGGAGTCTCTGAGCCTACTCTGGCTTGGGAGGCTGCCCAATTCATGAATAATTGTTTGCTCAGCTAAACGCTGTTAAACTTAATTTGGCTAAGGTTTTTATTTTAATAATAGTCATATAGTATACTAATCTGTGAGTATTTTCTTTATTGAACTATGGTGACATTACAGAGCTAGTCTCAACTTTCATAAAAAATCCTTCCTTTGGCTGGGCACAGTGGCTTATGCCTGTAATCCCAGCACTTTGGGAGGCTAAGGTGGGCGGATCACTTGAGGTCAGGAGTTCAAGACCAGCCTGGCCAACATGGTGAAACCCTGTTTCTACTAGAAATACAAAAATTAGCTGGGCATGGTGGCGAGGCATGCTGTAATCCTAGCTATTGGGGAGACTGAGGCAGGAGAATTGCTTGAGCTGGGGAGGCGGAGGTTGCAGTGAGCCAAGGTCACGCCATTGTACTCCAGCCTGGGCAACAAGAGCAAAACTCTCAAGAAAAAAAAAAGTGTAATCCCTGACATGTTCATACTTCTTTTCCTTTTTTTTTTTTTTTTGAGATGAGTCTCGCTCTGTCACCCAGGCTGGAGTGCAGTGGCACCCAGAAAGCAGAGGTTGCAGTGAGCTGAGATCACGGCATATGTTCCAGCCTGGGCAAGAAGGAGCGAAACTCCATCTCAAAAAAAAAAAAAAACAGTGAATATATTTGTGTATTTGCTATCACTGATAGTTCAATGGCTTTTTTTTTTTTTTTTTTTTTGGAGACGGGTCTCACTGTAGCCCAGGCTGGAGTGTGGTGGCTCAATCTCAGCTCACTGCAACCTCTGCCTCCTGGAGGGTTCGAAGTTCTCCTGCCTCAGCGTCCCGAGTAGGATTACAGGCACATGCCACCACGCCTGGCTAATTTTTGTATTTTTGGTAGAAACAGGGTTTCACCATGTTAGCCAGGTTGGTCTCAAACTCCTGACCTCAAGTGATTCACCCGCCTTCGCCCCCCAAAGTGCTGGGATTACAGGTGTGTTCCACTGCGCCCAGCCTGATAGTTCCAATGGATTGGGAAAACAAGGCTGAGGCCAGGTGCAGTGACTCAACGCCTGTAATCCCAGTGCTTTGGGAGGCTGAGGCGCGTGGATCACCTGAGGTCAGGCGTTCCAAGATTCAGCCTGGCCAACAGTGAAATCCGTCTCCTACTAAAAAATGCAAAAAATTAGGTGGGCGTGGTGGTGGGTCCCTGTAATCCCAGCGACAGGAGGCTGAGGAGACAAATAGATTGAACCCAGGAGCGAGAGGTTGCAGTGAGCTGAGATGTGCCACTGCAGTCCAACCTGGGCAACAGAAAAAGAGACTCTATCTCCAAAAAGAGTCACAGCAAGTGTGGTGGCTCACGCCTGCAATCCCAGCACTTTGGGAGGTCAAAGGGCGAGTAGTTGCTTAAGCCCAGGAGTTTAAGATCAACGTAAGCAACATGGCAAAATCAAATATACAGAGGTGGCAGGTGAGAGTGCTGCTCGCCTGTAGTTCAGCTACTTGGGAGACTGAGATGGGAGGATCTCTCACCAAGAACCGGGAGGTCGAGCACAGTGAGCTGTGATTGCACCACTGAACTCCAGCCTAGGTGACAGGAGGAGACCCTGTCTCAAACAAACACAAACAAAAAAGAAACAAAAAACAAGGCACGTCAAAGAATCTTCCTTTCTAATTCTCCTGCCTGCTCTTGCTACTATCACTGACTTTTGCCATCCCAGGCTGATGCTGGACTTCATGGCAGTGGCCTGTTTCATAGTGTTAGGTTCACACTACACACAGAGGGAGGCAGCAAGTGGAATTGATTGAAACTGGACCCCAGACTGGCCTTGTCACTCACTGCTCTCTGAGTTTTAACAAATGTCTCATCCTCTTTAGTAATCTCATCAAGGTAGTGAGAATTTTAATTATCTGCTCTTTATGAGTTTGTTGTAATGGTTAAATTAGTCACATAAGCATATGCAGCACAATGTCTGGTGTATAGTAAGTGCTTAATAAAAGTAGCTTTTAGTATACTTTCCTATTACATTGAATAAAATGCTAGTAACACTACTCTAACACCAACTAAAAGAATGGCTACTTCCAGCTGGGTATGGTGGCTCATGCTTATAATCTCAGTACTTTGTGAGGCCAGGTAAGCGGGGACCACTGGATCCCAGGAGTCAAACCAGCCTGGGCAACATAAGCCAAAACTCTATTTCTACAAAAAAATAAAAAATTAAAAAAAAATGGCTACTTTCAAATGTCCTTCAAAAGGTGCTATTGCTTTGTGGTTTACAGTATATCACCTTTCATAAATTACGTTTTACTTCTTGTTTGCTTGTTTTGTTTTGCTTATTTTTTTTTTTGAGACGGAGTCTGCATGTGTTGCAGGCTGGAAGGTGCAGTGTGCGATCTTGGCTCACTGCAAGATCCGCCTCCTGGGTTCACGCCATTCTCCTGCCTCAGCCTCCCGAGTAGCTGGGACTACAGGTGCCCACCACCACGCCTGGCTAAGTTTTTGTATTTTTAGTAGAGACGGGGTTTCACTGTGTTGGCCAGGATGGTCTCGATCTCCTGATCTCGTGATCCGCCCGCCTCGGCCTCCCAAAGTGCTGAGGTTACAGGCATAAACCTTCACCCGGCCTGCTTGTTGTTTACTAATATTTATTTTGTGCCTACCATATCCTAGCACTACATATTAGGGAATATTGAAGATATGAAGATAAATAAGCAGCAGAAGGTCAGTCTTAGAAAGGCTAAACGTAATGAGCATGTAAATTTATACTCTGTCAGTTCAAAGTGTGAGCGGGAGTTCAGTGGAAATGCTGAGATGAAGCAATTAACTCTGGGTAAGTAGAAAAGAAAATACACCGGGGCGGGGTGGCTCTGCCTGTAGTCCCAGTATTTTGGGAGGCTCAGGAGTTCAAGACTAGCCTGTGCAACATATTGAGACCTTGTCTCTACTAAAATTAAAAAAAATATTAGCCAGGAAGGGTGGCGTGTTCCTGTAGTCCCAGCTACTTGGGAAACTAAGGGAAAAGTTGCTTGAGCCTAGGGGTCAAGGCTGGCTGACCATGATTGGCCACGCTGCACTCATACGGGTGACAGAGTGAGACCCTGTCTCAAAAAAAAAAAAAAAAAAAAAAGAAAGAAAAAGTTAGTTGGGGGAGAAAGAAAGAAAATCCAGAAAGTAAATTAGGAGGGTCTTGAAGAGCTGAATAAGAAAGAGCAAGTGCTAGTCCTGGCCTCCTGGGTGCAGCCTGACTCAGCCCCCAGTCTCCCGAGGCCATTCCCCAGGCCTCACTAAGGCAGCAACACAGCAGGCTTGACTTCATGCTTGGCACCAAAGCTGGTGGTGAGACCATTCTAAAAAGCCTCGATCCATTTTTCCAGAGTTGGGGATGGCGGAGTCGGTGCACACCTGGAAGGACCATGGCTATTTAGCAACCTGCACAAACAAGAACGGCAGCTTTGCCAATTTGAGAATTTACCTACATGGATTGTGTTGCTGGACCTTCAGAGTTACGATGGTGACACACAAGGCAAAGAAAAGAGATCGAAGCAGTATTTTGAACAAAGTAGAAGAAAGAATGAAGAATTGGGTGGGACAGTACTAGGCGGATAAGCGATTACCACCCATAGTTGGAGGAGGAGCCATCAACAGATATTGGCCCATTGCCGATGGGCGCCTGGTTAGATACAGCATAGATTGAGGTGGTATGTAGTGAAAATTCATCTTATCAAAATATAAAAATTCTATACTCGAAGCAGTTTGCAAATATTCTCATCCTGAGTGGGGATGTTAATTTACCAGAGAGTGATTTGTTGTATACCTGGGCCATCATGGGCAGTGGCAAAGAAGATTACACTGGCAAAGATGTACTCATTCTGGGAGACAAATGCGGGGGCATATTGTGTGAAATAGTCAAACTAAAACCAAAGATGGTCACTATGGTAGAGCTTGACCAAATGATGATCAATGGATATAAGAAGTATATGTGAAAAACGTGTGGCGATGTCTTAGACAATCTTAAAGGAGGCTGCTATCAGGTTCTAATAGAAGACTGTATTCCGGTACTGAAGAAGTCGCCAAAGAAGAATAATCTTATTATGTGATTAATGATTTGACTTCAGCTGTTCCAATCTCCATATCTCCAGAAAAATTCCACATGGGATTTTCTCAGACTGATGTGACCTCTCAATGAAAGTATTGAAACAGGATGGGAAGTACTTTACACAGGGGAAATGTGTCAATCTGACAGAAGCGCTGTCACTCTATGAAGAACAGCTGGGGCGCCTGTATTGTCTGTGCTGGAATTCTCAAAGGAGATCGTCTGAGTCCCTTCGTACTTGGAATTGTGGGTATTTTACACTCTCTTTGGAAAGCTAAACCTTGAAGATGAATAGCCCCTAAATCACATGTGCTGCAAATGGCCTTCCTGACTGCCATATGTTGTACATGACATCAAAATGAGTCAGGTAATTGATTGTGAATTCCTCAAAGTTTTCCTTTTTTTAATTATTATTTTTGTTAAAAAAGCAAATGGAAAATCTGTATTTTGATGAGCTTAGGGTGTTATTTTTTTGAAAGTCAGCTGAAGGATGGTTGAACAGCACAGCCCGAAGACTGCTAAATGCACTGGCCCCTCCCCTGGAATGTGATTTTTGTTCCTTTTTATTTCTCTGTGGGCTTTTGTTTTTGTTTTGGTAGATCTTCAGTTTAGATGTTTGGAGGAATGAACATCGTTGTTTTGTCTTTGAAGGAAAGATCTTGATGATGTTCTTTCCCCAAAGTTGACTTAGATATTAAAATTTGGTGCTTTCAAAGAAGAGTTAAAATGGTAAGAATTGCTCTAATTAAAATTACAAAAAGAGAAAAAGAAAAAAAGAAAAAAACAAGTGGTTGGGTGCAGTGGCTCACGCCTGTAATCCCAGCACTTTGGGGCTTGAGGCAGGCAGATCACAAGGTCAGGAGCCGAGACCAGCCTGAACAATATAGGCTGTTCTCGTCTCTATTAAAAGACAAAAATTAGCCGAGCCTGGTGGCAGGCACCTGTAGTCCCAGCTACTCAGGGGCTGAGGCAGGAGAATCGCTTGAACTGGGAAGCGGAGGTTGCAGTGGGCTGAGATCATGCCACTGTATTCCAGCCTGGGTGACAGAGTGAGACTCTGTCTCAAAAAAAAAAAAAAAAAAAAAAAAAGAAAAAGAAAAAAAGAAAAGAGTAAGTGTGTTCCAGTTAGGAAAACTGGGTATGTAAAGCCACATGGGCATGAAAGGATACGTTATGATAGATAAAACTTAAGGAATAAATGTTATAGTTGAAGCAGCTCTCAGAACTTTCCTTCAAGGCTGGATATTTAACAGCAAGTCTTTGATCTTTGGGGGAAAGGGACTAGAGATGGTTGGAATCCTGGGTAAACACTGACCGTTTAGTATCCTAGAGGTGGGGTCAATTCACTGCTAATTAGTGTTGGTTTGGCTCCCTAAGGAAGAGTAAACATAAAGAGAAGGCAAGGAGCAGGAACTTGGGCAAAGGCAAGTGCGTGGGTGTGTACATTTCCAGAACTACTTGGAGAAATTGAGAAGTGCAAAGAAGGTCTTGAAAATAGAACAGGAATTATGTCTCATGCTTTAAAATAAAGTAAATTCTGCTGGAGGCATTAACACATCATACCCTAAAAATAAAAACAGAGGAAAATGGAGCCTCTTTTACTGTTGATGTGATCATTTTAACCTGCGGCTTGTGGCAGGGAAAACCATAATCAGGTTGTTTTTATTGTTTTTGCGGGCTGGAGCAAATGCTGGTTTGTAAACATTTGCCAATGTATCCAACTCAATAGCCTTAGGAATGTCTACCGCATTTGGTATGCTTCTGGAGCCTAAGGTGTTGTGCAAAGCAATGGGAGCAACTCATCAAACCCACAATGTTTCAGAAATTTTCCAGCTAGAGAGGTGCTCTGGTTTAGGGGCACATTGAACAAACCTGCCTTTGTTTCAGGAGAAAACACTGGAAAGGGTTTTGCTTTTTTGTTGCCTTTTTAAATTTTGTCCTTTCTTTTCTTCATAGAACAAGTTGTTTGTGTAGGTGATTTTTGTTTGTGGTGATTTTTCCAACCAAAAGGATGTTTATGAGAGAAATGTCTATTTCTGTATCTTCTGGTATCACGCTACCTTTATTTATTTGTTTTAATTTTATTTTATTTCTTTGCTTTTGAAACAGAGTCTTGCTCTGTTGCTCAGGCCCCTGGAGTGTGGTGGCATGATGTCAGCTCACTGCAACCTCCGTCTCGAGGTCCAAGTGATCCTCCCACCACAGCCTCCCAGAGTAGCTGGAATTATAGGCGCCACCACCCATCTAATTTTTTGTATTTTTTTTTAGTAGAGATGGGGTTTCACCATGTTAGCCAGGCTGGTCTTGAACTCTTGACATCCATTGATCCATCCGCCTGGGCCTCCCAAAGTGCTGGGATTACAGGCATGAGTCACCACACCGGCCCCATGCTGCAGCTTTAAAAATATCTGAACAATTCCAAGTCAATTCAGCCGAGTGGTTACAGACTCTTCCTGGTGCCCAGAATTTGAAATGAGTGAATCGAGACCTGCTCACAAAAACACATTACGGTGGGGAGGACAAGTATGTACACAGAAACTGAAACACCAGACAGAAGTTTCAGATGTTGGAAATACTAGAGGAAGAGCTGAATTCTGCTTAGGGTATTAGAAGAGAAAGAGACCAGGAGGGAGGAGAAGGGAGGAGAGGGAGAAGGGAGGGGAGAGGAGAGGAAAATTTAGCTGAATTTGAATAATGAGTAGATTCCAACCATTAGATGGTTGTGATAAGAAATGGAATAAATTAATCTCTTGTAAAGCAAGAATTTAAAACAAATTTTGTGCTCAGTAACAAAGTAAAACCAGTTTTTATTTATTTATTTATCCATTCCATAAACAACATTGAGTATCTATGAGGTGCCAGGCACTGTTTAGAGACAGAGAGATGCCAAGCATCTTCCCTGCCCTCAGGTGAAGAGAGATGTGAATATAAAAACTTATGCTACAGAGAGTCAATTATCGACAGAGGGGTGCACAAAATACTCTGGGGGCACCACGGACTGGAAGGAGTCAGAGACTTCACAGAGGAACACAGACTTGGAGGTTCAGTGGGAATGGGATGAGAAAACATTATATGCAGGGGAATGTCATGTATTATCATGTACAAAGACACAGAAGCATGAAACTGCATGGGATTGTAGAAGCCAAGAGGAAAGTTCCCTTCACCCTCTGCAGGTTCACTGAAAAGTCACTGACATGAAGCAGATTAATAGGAGAAAAGGCATGCAAATTTGTTTAACATGTATACACGGAGGCTTCAGAATTAAGACCCAAACCCCCAGTGAGTTATAGAAGCTTATCTGCCATCACATCTTGATGTTACAGAAAGAAGTGGTGACTTGAATCTGTGTGTGGTGGCTCACACCTATAATTCCAGTACTTTGGGAGGCAAGGCTGGTGGATCACTTGAGGTCAGGAGTTCAAGACCAGCCTGGCTAACATGGTGAAATCCCCATCTCTACAAAAATTACAAAAATTAGCAGGGCATGATGGCAGATGCCGTAATCCTGCTACTCAGGAGGCTGAGGCAGGAGAATCACTTGAACCCGGGAGGCAAGGTTTCCAGTGAGCCAAGATTGTGCCACTGTACTCTGGACTGGGTGATAGAGTGAGAACCTTTCTCAAAAAAAAAAAAAAAAAAAAAAAAAAAAAAGGAAAAGAAAAGAAAGGAAAAAGAAGACTTGGATCTGTGGCAAAGAAGAGATTATGGGAGGTGGGAGAAAGAGATTCTGTTAAGGGCAATGAACCGATAGGAACAGAGATTTACTTATAAATAAGTCTCTTTGACAGTGGAAAGTTCTAGTCACTCAGTTTGAATTTACATTCTTACTCTTATAGTGGGAAAAAGAAAAAAACAGTTGTTCTCCTTGGTGGGTCTGGATCTTAGGCAGATAGGAACTTCTGCTTTCCCAAAGAAGTTATCTTGTCACAAGATCCATGCCCCAACACAAGATCTTCGGAAACGACCGTGGGGACTTGGGGGAATGTCAGTGAGACCTTGCAGTTTCTTCAGTTCAGCATGTCGTGTCTCATGTTTTGGAATATTGTCTGTTAAGCCCCAACAGGATGTTTAGCGAGACCTCAAGTATGGAACATCTCAAATATAGGGCATAATCGGGGGGCAGGTGGGGAACAGGGGAGATGAGAAATGAAGCTAGAAATAAAGCCAAGAACTAGATCTTGAAGAGCTTTCTAGACCATGCAATGGAAATCTAATTTTATCCTATAGGCATTTTAATGAAGGATTTTAAGCAGGAGCAGTACTATAAGTAAAATCTACATTTTGGAATAATCACACAAGTGGTTTCCTGGAGAATAAAATTGAGCTGGACAAGATGGGAGTAGGAAGCCTGCTAGAGTTCTTTCAGCCACCTAGGCACAGGATGGGATTAAGACCATTAGAGTCCATCACCCTTCATCAAACCACACATGCAACTCAAAATTCAAGCAAAGCTAACCATATAAGACTAACAAAAACAAAATTCGGATTTTTCTTAGGATGATTACCTAGATGCATTGAGAAGTATATATATTGAATATAAAAGTATTTTAAGACTTATTTCCCCTTCTCTTGGATGCCTCTCGCTCTGCTGGTGCCTTAAAGCATGTGCATCTCTACCTACTGTGGGATCCCAGGATGGAAATGTAAAAGGATTGGGGTGGTGTGGAAGTAGGGAGGATCAAAGGATTGGGTGAGGGCATAGAGGCCAGGATGGCACCTAGGTTTCCTGCTTGGCCAACAGATAGCACATCATTTCTGAGTCTCTCGGGCTTCCTTATCCTTCCCCAACACATGGCAGAGCCTCTCCCAGACAGGAACGGTCCCAATCTGTTCCTGTTGCAGGGCTTTCCCTCTATCCTTTGAGCTTAGTCAGGCTCAATAGGGATTTCAAATACCCTCACGCGTGAGGACCAAAAATAAATCCCTCCACAGTTTTCAAAATGCTCAGGACCAGAGTCAGCCTGTAACATAACGTGGTTTCAGCAGCATTGTCATGAGGCTGCAGAAGCAACCCTGGGGCTCAGGAGAGGAGGGCTCAGCAGGACTTCCTCATTCCTTCCTCCGTGCTAGTCCTCCACTCCTTTTAGTGGCTCCCTGTGTGTGAAGATAGCAGAATTCCCTTCGTCACTCTGGGACTGTGACTCAGTGACAAAAGGAGAGGATGCAGCCTGATAGACACCACCTCTACATGTCTGGGAACAAGGCCCCAGGCAGCAACTACATATATCACTGGGATTGCTCCTGAATGTTCTAGAGCACCAAAGACTCTGTTAGGGCTTGTAATATACCATGCAC